TCTGTATTCCATTCACCTCAACTAACTTTAGTTTTTATCTCATCATATCGTAACATACATTATGATGTAGATACAAAACAGTGCTTTTATGATATTTTTGTCATATGGTAACAGTGTAATATAGTGACTGTCAGTCTTTGTGTCCTCTTAAGAGTCTAGATAACTGGGCAGAGTTGTGTCTGTCAGGTGTCGTCACAGCAGTAGTAAGAGCTGAACGCGCAGGCAAATATTCATATCACACCCAATGTCCATCCAGCGTGACCATGTAGCAACACAAATGGAGAACACACACCACAAGCGTTTTTGACTCCACTATAATGGTCGTCAAACTAGAGGCCAGAGTGAGAAAGAAAGAAGCGGGAGGAAAAAAAAAGTGTCTGTGACTTTCTCCTGACTGCAAGTGGTTGATTTTCACCACTCTCCTCCTCAGATGCTCCTGATGATGTTGCGGAGGAGACACTCATCAGGCCTGTAAACACACTGATAAATAATACTGATTGTTGGAAAGAAAAAACGTAAACAGAGAGCTCACTGATTGGTGCTTCGCCTCATGTGGTGGGGTGGCAGCTTCACAAACCGACTTCCAGCAGGTGTTTGTGCAGAGCACACTGGCATCAATTTAAAACACACAAAAAAGCACACTGCACCAGCTGCTGTCAGATTCTTTAGCAGTAACAAAACTCTGGAAACAATCTCAGCACGCTCGGGCTGATGTGAAGACCCTGAATATCAAGCGCATGGACGACCTCCCGCCGTCCCTGCACTTAACTTCCCTTAATATACGAAGGGGAGGATTTATTCTGATCTGTATCAACTGTCAAACAAATTAAGCAGCAGCAGCTGGTCGGCTGGTCGGCTGATCACCTCAATATCTGAGTGTGTGTCGCTCATCACAATGTGAAAATCTGTGTGGACGCTGCTGCTTTGGCTTATCATGCCACCCGATGACAATGTGCGTTTAATGTGGGGTGTGCTGTCAGTCAAACTGCCGCTGCTTTTTGTTGGCACTTTGTTGGCGTGCAAACAGAATGCAGGCCCACAATATTTTCAGCTCTCCTCAGGCTTTTAGCTAAGTGCTGTCCTGGAGGGACACATACACAGTCACACTTTTCATCTACCTGCATGTACACACACGAACACGCATACATACATATAGTTACACACGCAGTCCACGATTCTGTCACTGCTCTTACAAATATGGCAATGCATTGATTGCCTGCCGTCTGTCAAATTTCAGGGCCAAGAGCTCGGGGCCCACACAACAGTGGCCTGGACCTAGCAGTCACTTGTATGATCACAGCTTAAACATCCTGGAAGAAGGGATCTCCTCCTGGATTATCTCTTCCATCCACAGCAGAGGACAAAGAATGGACATAAAGACCCTTGCAGTTCCACACTGACGGTCAAACGTTCTAACAAATTCTGAGGGACTAAAAGTATCCGTTTCCTGTTGTCCTGTCCTGGAGTGTGTCATTTGTTCAAGGCTGGGGGTGTGAGGGTCTGCAGTGGTGGCTAGCTGTTGTTCTCAGCTGTCATGTATTTTAGGGCGGCGAAGCCATAGCGTCGCGACATGTTCTGCTGGAACTCCTCCTTCAGGGTCTTGAGGCAGACCCGGTACTGCTTGTTGGAGCGGAACTTGGTGATGTCGAAGCTGGGCGCATGAGGCATGTGGATCATGTAGGCATTGGGCAGAACCACAAACTCGTACTCCTGTGGAGAGAAGAGGACAGGAAGAACTTTCAGGACGGCTGACTACTACAACCACCGGGCTTCTTTATTACAACACCTAATATAAAGTTGCACTGGTTGTGTTATGGGCCACAAAGGGGCAGCTGAACAACCTGTAAACACAGCATCTGACCTATTATTCAACCATCCAGCAGACACATCGTAACATTAGCATTAATCTGGAGACATTATTATATCTGCCTGATAGATGTAAGTCCAATTATAACTCTATCAACTCTTGATCTTGATAATATTTCGGCATGTTGCACCAGCTGAATGTTTTATGTGAAGTGTGATTGGAAGTCTGACTGTACTGCTACATTGTAAGTTCTTCAGTAAGGTAACCCTGATTAACATCACCTTGTTAATTAAAATTGAAAAACAATCATATCAACAATTTCTTCAGTGGTATTACTGTTTTTGTTGTTTATTTTACTGTTGAGGAAGTAAAGGCGGCACAAATTACGTCCATGTAAAAGAGTTTGCCAATGTCAAGAGTTACGAGCTTCTGTTACAAGCAACCAAAAGGGGACAATTCTCAACTGAACGTAGCATTCATCACTCTCAAGTCCACTGTGTCTGGATAAGGCATGTTACGGCTGCGCCGATTTTGCTGACATGTTTAGATTTTGTTGATCTGGTAATCAGTGTTTGCATTTTGTGCTTCCACTATGATTAAGTAGGCTACGTAGTTAAATGGTTCAATCAGCTCTGTGCTGCTTAATGCAGCCTGCGTCAAAATAGGCTGGCTACCTATTCTCCGCGAAGCGGAGAGATGCTTCTGGGCTGCGTCTGGTGGACTTACGAGTATTGACTATAATGGCCACGATTCGCGGCCATTAGGGGTCAGTGGACTTTAGGCGTCATGCTGATTGCAAATAATGGAAAAACTATAAACTATTCATCCAACGAAGGTTGAGATCAAGGGCAACTGGACTTGGTTGAAGAAGACGTTTCGTCCCTCATCCAAGAGACTTTACATATCCACCATCTTAGCCCCTTTGGTTGGTAACTTGCCCCACCACATCCAAAACTCCATTGACTTTGTAAACAAAGAAACTGAAACTGCCCCAGATGAAACTATGGTGTCCTATGATGTGACCTCTTTGTTCACCTGCATCCCCACCAATAGAATCCATAAGGAAATGGCTACTACACGACTACACCCTGGACAACAGAACCAGCCTCAGCCCTGACCAGATCTGTAAATTACTCCACCTCTGTCTAAACACCACCTATTTCCAGTACAACGGAGATTTCTACAGACAAAAGCATGGCTGTGCCATGGGCTCGCCAGTGTCACCTATTGTGGCAAACATCTACATGGAAGAAGTGGAGGGAAAAGCCCTCAACTCTTTCAGAGGAACAGCACCGAGCCACTGGTACAGATACTGGATGACACTTCACAGAACACATCAACTCTGTGGACATCAAGTTCACGCGAGAAGATGTCCACAACAACAGTTAGAACCACCTGAAGGGGGCACTTACAGCCTGTGGATACCCTTAATGGACCTTTGTGAAAACAGCCACAAGATCCAGGAAGAAGAGGAGAAGAAGGTCAAACGTGATTCCATACGTGTCTGGAGTATCAGAGAAACTCAGGAGGATTTTCAACAAACACAACATCCCTGTGTTTTTTAAACCCAAGAACACACTAAGACAGATGCTGGTCCACCCCAAAGACCGCACACCCAAACACAAGAAAAGCAATCTAGTGTATGCGGTCCAATGCAGTGAGGAATGCACAGACCTGTATATTGGGGAGACTAAACAACCACTACACAAACGCATGGCTCAACACAGAAGGGCCAACTCCTCAGGTCAAGACTCTGCAGGGCACTCCTGAGGACACTCGTTTGAGGACCACCAGGTGCACATTTCAGACAGAGAAGATGGATGGTTTGAAAGAGGTGTCAAGGAAGCATCTACACCAGGGTCGAGAAGCCGTCATTGAACAGGGGAGGGGGTCTACGCCACCACTTATCCCCCACTTACAATGCTGTCCTTTCATCACTTCCCAGGAAACTCAACAAACGTAACCTATTGGCCTCAGGTGAAGATGCCAACGATGAGTCGTTCAGACTTGGCCACCGGTGGCTCTAACGACCATGACGACTGTCATTACCACAGCCAGGAGCACTAACGAACCCGCGGTATCATCGATCCTAGCTAATGATCCCAGAGAGGTTCAATAGCTGAGTTTCCCTGCCAGTCAGTCAGAACTGAAGAAGTCTCTTGGATGAGGGACGAAACATCTTCTAGTATCTTCAACCAAGTCCAGTTTAATTAATTTATTTACTGCTGCTGCATGTCTCCCGTCCAAATGGACAACATTGCTTTACAATGCCAAAATAAAACTACACTCATAAAAAATTTGCCTATATAAGTAAAATATAAGTAAATATATTTTAATAAACTCTTAGCCAGTATCCAGTATCTTCAACCAAGTCCAGTTGCCCTTGACTTTAACCTTCATTGGATAACTATGACCTGGATGACTGAGAATCTTCATAGATATAAACTATTCAACACACAACTGAGTGTAGGTACCATAATAAATGATATAATAGTTTGTATCGTGCAAGCTGTTTAAATAAAAAAATAACACCTGTTCAATGCATTGCCGTCATATTTTGTACAGTAGTTTATGGTCCTACTGACTTTGGTGATTCCCAGACTAAACCACTAGCAAAACCATGAGGCTGTTTTTTTACTGAAATCTCAAAAACATTTGATGGTTTTCCATGAAATTTGGTGATGTCAGGGGACATATGAGATTACCAGCAGGTGAAAAATCTCAGCATATACTGACAGACTTTGTACAGATATTCATGGTTCCCAGATGATGTATCTGATTAACTTGAATTATTTGGGATCCTCTGACTTTTGTTAAGACTTTAGTTTTGGGACTAAGACACATAAAATTAAGCTGGTAAATTAAGGTAAGCTGAGCTGCTGTTTGGTGATGGGCAGGTAGTGCACAGTGGGTTTATCAGAGCTTTATCACTGAAAACAGCTGCCTGCTTCTGCTGGAAATAATGACAGCAGAGTTTGTGGACGGAAAAACCAAAACAATCAGCTGGAAAATGCTAAAATGCTTTGTAGAGCTGAGGGGAATTGCAAAGTTCGTGATCATCTTACATTACTTATAGAAATAGGATCCTTTGTTAATATAATAAAATGTTATATGGTGCTGTTTTAGTGATCAAATTTTTCCATCAGTTACATTTACTGCAGAACCAGCAGAAATTAGGAACCAAAACATTTAGCAATCACACTTTTTGAGAAGATTAGTGAGGCTGTCTATATAAAGGGCTGTCTCATTATAACTTGGCATTTCATTAAATATGTAATTTCAAAGACAGATATTGAGTAGGTCATCCATACCTAGACATAAGACTATAAGACAGCTCAATAAGGCTTTAATAATACAGCCTAATCATAATTAGATGCCTGGTGACTTTTCTGCAGGGGCATTAGCTGTGGAGCTGTGCAACAGCAATAAATGTGTGAATCACAGAACTTCTGATTTCCTCTACCTTTCATGAACTGCAGACACCATAACGTGTTGAGAAGATGTATTCTGAGACATTAAGCAGACAGTTTAGACAGGTAAATAGACAGTAATAGTTGAGTAAGTTACCTGTGCATCCAGCTCCATGATGTGAGCCACCTTGTTCCAGCCGAAGCCCACAAAGCGGCGATCGTACTCAGGACTGTCCCTCCTCACCATGACGTAGGGCTCAAAATCGGCTTCCCACTGCACCCTATAGGGGGTGGTGGCCGTCCGCCATTTGGCAAAGTTAGTTGGTGCGTGGCCTTTAGTCCACACATGGTACCTGAAAGGAGAGAAAAGAAAACTATTGTTGGAGAGATGTTTTTTCACTGTTATTTGTGTACTGTGGACTTTTACTGAGCTGTGGCTACTTGGTGTTTGCCAGAAATTGTTGAGAAGATGATTTGTGTCTCAGGGAATACTGAACATCAATGTCACTCCAGTAGTGTATTCTCCACAGATATGAAAGGGGGCTGGTGTAACGTAAATTATTCATTTATATAACTCTTTTTAAAAAATGGGCCAACAATCGGCCCATAACGCATGGACAGCGGCCCATTGGGTAATTTTCTATACTGACAATGGGCTGGCCCAATCGCATCTCTTACTGGCCCCCACGCCCCCTGCTCTCTGTTTCTTGCAATGCAATGTAAATATAGAAGAAACCTCTGATTGTTTGTGTTTGCTAATTTTTCATGATAAAGTTTACAGTAGCATTCCAACAATTTAACTGTACATCCCAGTGTCATGTCATTTTAATGGTTTATTATCTTTTCTCAATTTTATTAGATTTTTGTGGTCTGCTCAGCACAAGTGCAAGTGTGTCTCTACCAGTGAGCCCCTGAGGATTGAGAAGAGATCTGAATTAATGAATGGTAAAATATATGAATCAATATTACTGATCTACACAACTTTTAACACGGACAGGGAAATGAAAAGAGCTCCTGTAGTGTTTCGTTAAATGAAAACCTGAAGATTCTTGAACATTGCTAGCTACAGAAACAGAGAAGTTGTTCACCTGAAGGTGAATAGCGTGCCCATGTCCAGCTGAGACAGCAGCTCAGCCTTGGACTTTGGGTAAGACAGACGATATCGCAGCGTCTCAAAGGCTGGAACCACCAGAGCTTTCTTGGTGTTGGCCATGTCCAGCTGCACCACTGACTTCCTGCAGACACACACACATAAGAGAAGATTCCATACTGTAATAGTACTACAGTCCATGTACAAAAGCTCCTACAAAATTATAATTGTCTCTCTAAAATATAAGGATATTAAAAGGTGTCACTGCCCACTTAGCTGGCTCCAATCTAATTTCCTTTCTCCTCTTACCTGAGATACTCATAGAGGCCATACATGGGCAAGAAGTCGATGTCTGATAGGAACATGTAGGGTGTGTTGACCTGCCGCATGGCCACATTTCGAAGCAGGTTGACTGGGTAGAACTGTCCCTCTTTGTAGACAATGTGGTAACCGACGTTCCCGCGGCTCATCAGCACCTCTGAGCCCTGAGCGTAGCGCAGGAACTGCTGGGCCTCAGCGTCGGACAGGTACAGGGCCAGGCTGATGGGGCCTTCCCAGTGCTTACAGATGGCCTCCAACATCTGAAGCCTGCAAAGGGCGGGCACAGGGACAAGTCATGAAAATGACTTTTTTTTGGTGTATGTCAGCTTAGGTTACCTGAGAATTTTAGATACACTATGTTACGAACACATTTTGGTCATTGGCATTGGGGGTGGTGATGGGACAGGACACATGGCTTTGGTGTGAGAGACCCGGGTACTTGCTCCAGAGGCATGTGACGTCGGACATACTTAGCAATTGTAAGTCACTTTGGATTAAAGCTAAATTAATAAAAATGTAAATGTAAAAAGGTATTGAGGTTAAATACCAAGCCCTAACCAATAGCTGTTCCTAAACATTCCAATATCAAATAAGCTCCAACGCCACAACACATGAAACAACTCATTAACAACAAAAATGGCAACACAAAATGGAATAGTGTCTTTTTCCTAAGATGTGATGATTGCGTTCTGGTGGCTGCTATTAACAAAGTTTTTAGCCCTGCAGCTGTTTCTGTTTGGGTTTGTTGCAAAACGTGAGGCATGTGACACAACACAACTATTACACTTGGCCGTTGTTGCCCACAGCTTTATATGCATTTTGGGTTAGGGTTAAGGTACGGAATAATGAGATACTGAACCTTGGACTTGATATGCTAATGAGGTACTGATATTTGTTTTATATTTGTTACATAAATGAAAAGAGCCTGCCTTAGCAGGAGACTCGGCTTTGCTTTGAAGAGTCGAGCTTCAGAAACATTTTCGGTCAGGCTGGCCTGCTCAGCGTCACTCACTTTGAATATGCAGTGGATCTGCTGTAAAGTGGTGATGCTGGAGAGGGGAAGTGAATGCATGAATGTCATTGTCCAAATTTTGACAATCTTCTTTCCTTCTCCCCCTTTCAGTTCATCTGCATGCTTCCCACTACAGTACCTCTACAGTTCATTTGTATTCTATCTGAAGGTGAGGTCGTGTTATTTGCGTCTGACACTGTTTTGGATTAATTTCCCTCCACAGAGCCACCATGGGCTCATTAAAACAAGACAAAGTCTAAAGTCAGCTAGCAGCCCCTAGAGGCATCTATGTTTATTGAGCAGAAGATGCAACATACTGACAGTATTGACTTAACCTACCATGGGGTCATTTAAATCAAAAGGTGGATTCCCCTGGCAGCATCAATCTGCTCTGCAAATCCCATGTCAATGTTTTAGATGATGATACAGTACATTGGATATCTATAATGAAAAGCAATCATCCTCAAAGGAACATGTCCCTCACTAGTCAGTTTCAGTTATTATTGCAGTTCACTGTATTCAGGGTTAAGCCAAAAATCACCCCTTCAGCTGCTAGAAAGCTTTCAAAAAATAGGAGAAGAAGAGATTATAACCCTCCTGTTTAAGCCTCTCTTCACTGGTTACCAGTTAGTTTGAGAACTGATTTTACTGATCACATTCGAAGCACTTCATGTTTCATCTCCCAGTTACACTAATGATTAGCAGCTCAGCTGTGAGCTAGAGTGCAACCTCAGATCCTCAGACAGGCGGGCTGGAGACTGGGCTTTTGCAGTCTCAGCTTTGGAACTCCCTGTCTGAAGATCTGAGGCTGCAGAATCAGTGACATCTAAAACATATCTTCTTCTTCTAAATCTTTTATTAACGCAAGCACACATTTTACTTCCAACTTCCAACTGCTGGCCATAGTGAAAAGGGAGAAAATACCTTTTTAAATCATCTCTGGTGAAAATGATTTTAACAGTTATTCTGTTGTGGTTAAAGTATGAAAAATATGGTAAATGTAAAGGATAAACTTCCTACCTCAAAATCCTGACGTGACTGTGTGCCTTCAACTCGACTAAAAGTTTAGAAGAGCTGCTAAACACAACTAGACATAGCAACTGAATGGCACAGACAAAATGCGTTAAATAGTCCAACAAAAAATAGGCTATATAGAAAAAGAAATACAGTGTCCAGCAGTGAGACTACTAGGGCTACTCCATTATGGCAAAAATCAAAATCATGAATATTGAGATCATGATTATTTAAGAAGATTACTCATTGGCTTAGGAAACAATGGGAGATGCGGTTACTTAAACCAACGGTGAGTAAGAAAAATATAAATAAGTATAAATCAGGGCTGGACTGATAATCTGGCATACCGGGCAAAACCGGTGGGCCAAAAAAAATGGGCCAACAATCGGCCCATAACGCATGGACAGCGGCCCATTGGGTAATTTTCTATACTGACATTGGGCTGGCCCAATCGCATCTCTTACTGGCCCCCACGCCCCCTGCTCTCTGTTTCTTGCAATGCAATGTAAATATAGAAGAAACCTCTGCGTTGTCCAAAAAAAGTAACTTAAGCAAAAAACAATAATAAGCTACTGATTACTGCATGTTATTATATTTGTATATTGTGAATTGTCACCTGCCACCTGAATTTTGTGCTTCCCTTTATAAAAATGAAGACTTTTCCACAATAAATTGGTGCAGAAAATATCTCCAGAATAGGAGGAAATTAAGTGTTTAATGCTAAAAATCTCCTGGGGGTGGACGCCCAGACCCCCTATCAAATATTTACCCTATCTATAAATATCAATGGTCTATTAAAATATATTCTTGTCTTTTAGTCATGGACACCAATCTAGTGCAAATGTTACGTCTCAGTTTGTCATCACACCCCTAATCTGACCCGATGGTGTATTGGTGAGGGGTATCGATTTTGGTGGGCTGGCTCGGCCAAAAATGCCAGGGCCGATTTTTTGTCCCAGTCCAGCCCTGGTATATATAATATGTAAGCTATGTCAAGGCGAAAAATCCACTAGCTGCTAGGCTAAATTATGCAGTGTAAAATGTGGTAAGTTTAAGTTAATAATGGTGACTTGCAAGTTATAGCAGTTAAACCCCCCCATCATGTTGGCTTGAGTTGAACTAAATATGCCACAAACTGCTGAGAGGGAGGTTGGGTTTTCAGTGAGGGGCGGAGCCTCCGCTGTAAAGGAAAGGGCTGCACTGAATTTTTAACACAAGACAAAACAAGAGAATCATTGTAAAAATGGAATATGGCACATAATTGTTTTTATCTCAATTGTCTAGTTCTCACAATCCAAGCCTAAATCATAATTAAGAATAAAATGTTATTAATCGCCCAGCCCTAGAACATTCCCAGGTGCATTTATGCAGAACTTTTTAATGCAGCTGGGTGACTTTACCTTCTAAATACATTGTTTTATATTTTATTGAAATGAACTTTGGTGCCCTCTTATGTGCGTAGAGTGGCAACTAACCCCCTATCAACCTGTGGAGGTAAGGAGATAAAAGGTACACAGAAAGTACTCATGCATAATTTGAACTTGTGAACACCACAAAGTAAGTTGTAATCAGATATGAGCTAGGCCTCCATGTTTTTTTTCTTCAGTCAACAGAGTCAATAGCAGCTGAGCTGTTTTAAATAAACCCCTTCATATGGATCAAACTGTTTATCCTGCTTATCCTTCTGTAAGAGTATTTCCATCCACGTTTCAGATTTAACTGAATAAAACGTACCACATCTGTCAGTTGTTTATTCTAAACACGAACTCACGCTGACACGTCAGCCGTCACATTCATGCTTGAATCCTGGCCAGCCCCTCCTACTGAAAATCTGAAAAATCATTTAACACAGCCCCCCACTTACAACGCTGGAAAGGTGTGGGGAGAGGTTTGTTAATCTGACAATCTCACAAACACTTCTTCACAAGTATACTGATTCCACAAGCATAACTACCAAGGAGCTGTTCCACAGCAACAAGGGCCTCGCCAACCCCAGAATTTCAGACAAAAATCAATTCCCTGAATTGCTGCACTCTGATGATTGCAAGAAATTCAACTTTGGTGACCTTTGGCCAACTGCAAACCATCTCTACAGTGTGGATATTTAAGGGCCCAAAAGTATTGTACTTACATACAATTTTGGGTTACTGTATTTGACTTGAGTATTCCATTCTATACTACTTTATACTTTTATTCATTTCAGATGAGAATATTGTTCTCTTTACTCCGCTAAATGTATTTCACAGTTGTAAGATTTTATTATTAAAAAAAACACAAGCTTTTCCAGTGCTGAAGGTAAAGTAGACACCAACATCCTGCACTGTCTGGTTAGGTCTGGCAGTTCCACCAAAGACAGATTTCTCCTTTAAACTTACATGGTCTCAGTTTGACTCAGTGGACTTATATGGTCTCAGTTTCAAGTGAGAGATCTCAGTACTTCTTCCACCACACCCTGTGTGTCACCATCCAGTTATATATAACTGTTCTGTATAGTTTACAGTCACTCGTTGGTCCAGATATGCTTCCCGGACCAAACAGTGTTTTCTTAGAGTCTGGTTAGCAAACCAGAGTGCAAGTATTCCCTACATTACCAAGCTTTTTGCTTCACAAAGACGTGCAAATACATTTTTCTGTACTATTTTCAGATGTAAATGAGCACTATAGCTCTAGAAATCTGATTAATCAAAAGTGTAGTGATGAAAAAAATAAACTAAGCAGTTTCAAAGATAAATAACGTTTTAATGCCCTCCGTTGGGACTTGTCCTAAGCAGTGAGAACATTGGAGGACTTAAATCAAGACATTTATTCAGTCTAAATAAAATGTCTGCAGGGATAACCTTGAGTAATTCAAACGACCCAATGTCATTATGAGAAGAGAGACAGAGGAAAAGGTAGCAGATACATAAAACTACTCAATATATGGACCTTTCAAATTCAGGAGGAATTGGGTGTTCACATAAATGAAACACTCATTGCAAAAGTTTGTTTATACTCCCCCTGCTCACTGTTGAAACGACGAAACAAATACCAACATTACCATATAAATGGCAGATTGATGATGTTTGATGCTAAAGTCCCTGGATTTTCTTTGTATCTCCAGAAATAACATAATGCTCTTTATTAAATCTGACAGTGGGCTGTTTCAAAGCCACTAAAAGCTGAATGTTGTTCAGCTCATCAGATACTGCAGAGCTGTCAGTATGCCCGATGTCTCATGGAGCATAAACGTGATTAGTTGCTCACGTAGGCTACATTCTACGACAGGATTCTCAGAGGGCTTTCATATGTGTGCACGTACACGGACAGAATAGGAAACGTATCAGCGGGTGCAGCCAAAACATTCAATATGGCTAGTAACAGCAGCACCATGAAGAGTAAATTAGTTTCTATTGAACTGCACCTCTTCCTCTCTGCACTCCCCAGGATGCCCAGTAATAGCAATCTGATGAGCTCTGGGGATGTTGTGTGTTGTGGTGAGTTTTGGGGATATAATTGGGAATAAAGGCATGCACCGTTTCTCTGTGAAGCTATTTATGGTGAGTGGTTGAGCAGTTACCTTCAAAGGTGGTGAAGTATTTGTGTCATGAATGTCAGAATAGAGATGCAAATTCAGAGAGGCAAGTGGTATCAGAAGTTTTATGTAAGTGTGACAGAGAACTTATCTGGGGGGTTTAATATCCATGTATGTTGCCCTTCAACAGCAGTCACTGTCTTTCCATGGTTGACCACATTTGCTCCAGTGAAAATCAGAAAGCTAAGCTCAAACACCCTCCCCTGGCTAAATGATCACACACTCAACCCCCGAAAATGTGATCGCAAACAGAAGTTAACCAAGTCTGCTTTCATTCACAGTAGTCTTAAAGAATATATGGCAAACAAACAGAAAGCAGTAAAAGATTGGCAGACTTAATATTCAATGATCTTATTTAAGGTAATCAACTCTGTTCTCAGTGGACCATGCAGTACAGACCTTGAACCGGGTATACGACAAAGAAATTCACGAGTTTCTTTGAAATTTCACCCGATCCATGAAATCTACCCAGCTTCAACAGTAATCTTGTTACCCTCACCCAGTTTCAAACTACGGACATCTCAGCATTAGGTCAATTAATTTCTCAAATGTAACCCTCTACCTGTGTTTTAGACACTATACCAAATTATATCATTGAATTATTATTTATAAAAGAGGACTTCCACACCCATTTTATTCTATTGAATATTAACAATTCTGTTTCAAACATCTATTTATTCAACCGTTACTGAAAAAACCTGAGCTGGAGCCACTATTACTATTACATTTTTATCTAAGGGGCTAAACAGAGTCATTTCAAGTCATTTAATCTTACTTATGAACAATAGTAACATTGTTAACAGTTTTCAGTCAGGTTTCTCAGCTCTCCATAGCACAGACACAGCCCTTTTGAAGGTCTCCAATGACCTACTTTTAACAGCTGATAAGAGGTGAGTGCTCAGTCCCGGTGCTGTTAGACTTGAGCACTGTTTTTCGACACAACTGATCACTCTGTTCTCCTGTAGTTGTCCTGTACCATCTGGAATCCTGGGTTTGTGTTAAGGGCACTGCTCTACATGTGCTGCGTTCAAAGCTCTCCAATAGAACCTTCTCTGTTCACCTGTTCGTCTGTTGTTCATTTTAATTGTGGTGTTCCTCAAGGGTCCGTCTTTTGTTTACAATATCCGTACACGCTTCCTCTCAGCCAGATAATTCAGAACCATGGTTTTTCCCATCACTGTTACATGTCCCTCTCCAATCCAGTAACTCCAGCAGTCTAGATGATCTCTTTGCCTGCCTCAGTGATATTAAATGTCGGATGTCCCAAAACTGTCATTGAATGAAAACTGAATGAAACTAAATTGAATGATAAATCTGGGCTTACAGTTTTTGGCCCAACCAATTCTACCAGCCTGTTTCACAGTAAGGTTGGTTCCTTGACAAAAAAATATTACACAGGCTGCTGGATGTCTTGCAGTAATATTTTAAGCACATCTCTGTTTTGTGGTTCAAGGGAAGAATGTTGTCCTGTCAGGCTTTTTTCAGCATAAGAAGATCTCCCAAATCAGGACATTCTTCTGCTGATTTACATGAAGTCATATGTTTTTATTTTTTCCCCACCTGGACTAATGTCAGACTATGTCGTTAGTGTCTTTTAAATTCCTTCTTGAAACTTTTTTAAGAAAGCATTTATGAATATTGCACAAGTTTTACAGGTTTTATCCTTTAACCCTTGCCATATATATATATATATATGTAATGATATAATGATATCCTCAGTGTTCCACAACATGCAAACATGGGAGTCCCCTGGATTATTTAATCACATTAAAAGCTTATGTTATGGAAATCATAAATTGCAATTAAATCAACATTGTTTCTGAGAAATCATGTTGTTTCTTTCTGTTTGGTTTGATGGCTGGCTTTAAGTACAACAATACCCATGAGCCTCCCACGAGCAAATGCATGAACTATTGTGACCAAATCCCTCACTGTAGTTCCTTCACACACAACGGGCCTTGTTTGTACCATGCATAATCTTTCTCTTCAGCTTACTGTTAGCAGTAGAAACATCATCATTTTAAGCTCTGTGACTGGATGTTTCTTAAAGGTTCATAGAGTCATAGGGGACTTCTCTACTTCAGTTTTATCTACACATGCTTGCACCTTTGGTGTTTTATCAAAAACCAGATGTAATAGTTTTGTACTGAAGAGAGTTGCTTCTTCATCTATGCCTTGGAGGTGCTCTAATTTTCTTTCACTTATTATCTATGTAGAGAATACTCTACTGAACCTGCAGAACACCCGAAGCACACCTGCGTAACAACAGCAAAACAAGGGAAGTTCAGGAAGTTCTCCATTTACATGCAGAAGAGTGTTAATATATTTAATAACAAACTACTTTTTCAGCAATCTGAGCTTTGTTACTGTGGCTGTTGAACAGTACCTGTCCATAGAGAGCTGGGCGACTAGAGTAACATCAGTGTTGTCAGAGCTGGGTTCATACTCATAGTGGAGGAAGTAAAGGTGTGTTCGATGGACAGTGAATCGTTCTCGACGAAACTCGTAGCAAGGATCATCTTCATCCAACTCTGACAGAGTCTTCTGGAGCTGCAGGCAAAGAGGAGAGGGACACCAATAGTAAGACATTTTAGGAAGATTCACCAGTTTGTATCTGTGGAGTGCCAGTGACTTTCTGTCGGGAAAACTTCATTCTATATCATCGAGCGAGCAAATGATTTACTGAGTTAAGGACATTTTAGAATTTAGTGTTTGCAAAAAAGGCTCTGGCACACCATGATGAAAAAATTATATTGTGACTAACTGCCCACTGAGCTGATACCTTTTCTAATTCTACAACACCATAGTGGCTAGTCCTGTAAAAACCCGGCTCCTGAGATATGACACATCAATTGCCTGAATGTTACAAAACACCAACAGAGTCTATACAGAATGCTGGACACTGGCGAGGGTGTATCAAGATCTCTGTAAGCTTCAAACAAACCAGGTCATACAACGTGTTGTCCAATCACATGTAAAGTCATAGCCTGTTCTGAATGGACACACTGAAAGCTAGGCTAAAAAATCCTGCTGCAAGCAGCACTGAAAGCGAATCCAGAGTTTTGGGCGGCTTGATTACACACAAAGTCAATACAAAAATGTGAATTCCTGCAAATTCGCTGCGGGCGGTGCGGAAGATGCGTTTGTTGCGACATTCGCTGGTTCGTACAAGTTACAATTTTTTAAACTTCAGTGAGAAATTCCCTTGACGCTATGTTGCGAAAGCCTATCAGTGGCGAGATTGTCCCGACGTCACTGACGCCTTCAGAGCATTGTTAGGAGAGGACCAGGGAGAGTGGGGGAGTGAAATGGCGCTAGCTGATGGAGAGATGCTAAAGAACAGGAAAGTGTACGGGGAGCAATAAACACCTATAGTCGGTCTGGATTTTACTCTGACAACCACACCGTTTACCTGCAGGAGGAGCTCGGAGTAAACTGTTTTTATTAAATTAGCTTTTTACTTTAGTTTTTGGGATGACAATGTTGATTTACCTTCACTGGAGCTTCTCAGCAGCTAGCTTCTGTGAACATCTGGTTCCACTGTTGTTGTTAGCGTCGGATAGCACCACTTCACATTTATATAAAAAACGGACAAAACTGGACATTACATGGAGAAAAGAAAGCGAGGAAATTGAACTACCTGGTGAGTTCATAAAAATGTGTCTGTAACTTTATTCCAGCTATCGTTGTACTTAGCCCTGACCAATCCGAAGTCCATTCAGAAAAACATTTAAAAGGTTGTTGTTTAACAAATCTGCATCATATTGTAGTTATTTCAGCATCAGTTTGATCCGTTTATTGCAATTAAATCATAGCAACATGTTTACTTTGGCTTCATACAGCTGTAGTATTTGCGTGTTGTGTTTATTCGCTTTTCGCTTTGTGTGCGAACACTCAGCAGTTATCCAGCAATGACACCCGCACGAGAAAAGCGAGGATTAAATTTGCGTTGTATGTGAACACAACATTAGATTCTGTGTTTTTTGTCTTTTTGTCTTTGCAGTCTTCACATGATCAACTGTTTAAATGGGGATAATGCTGCACAACCTTTTGTGTCTACAGCAGCTTGGTGTCTCCAAGCGCTCCTGTCCCCGTTGGCACACGTGCCAGCGTGGGCACGTGAAAAAGCAAACTCAGTTCTACAATATTGACATATGCTGCTGTGTTGTTTAATATTACATTAAGTTAGTGATCAACCACTAAAAACCAACCATTAATTTTGACATTATTATTAGGGTTGTGAAAATTAAAGAAATATAGAAAAAATAACGCCTAATATTTTAACGCAGGATTAATCGTAGTACTTTATGATCCGCGATCGGGCTCCGGAACGTTTCTGTGAGAGTGGGCCAAATTCAAACATTAAATTTTTAGGTGGGATAAGAGCGGCCCCTCCCAACTTGGACTGATCCTTGTTTTTGCTGTAATGTGATTGATCAAAGGAGTTTACTTTCCATCCGGTTTGTGTGACGAGTGCAGCAGAGACATTAAATATGGCAAAAAAATGTGATTTTAGAAGAAAAACTGTTGGCACAAGAGGCATTTGTAACTATTTTAGCCTTCTGACTGACTGTACACATGACATGTTGGTAGCAGTAGCCTATACTGTGACTTCAGCTCAGGACTGGTCTTATTCAGCAGTGGTGACTTGCTTATTCAAACCGAGGAGGCCGGTGTCATCCTAAAGTTTCTTGGAGGTCTTCAATACCAAAAAAAAGCTATTTAACGCCAAGGTTATGAATTCATGGGAAATAAAGATGTTGAGCTAAATAAGTTTGTTTATTATCATTGATGCACTCTACTAAAATCCAATTGAATTAGAATATTTTAAATGCTTATCACGGCAAATATCGATATATGTGATTCATTTCAATTCATTCTGTTAATTAATTACAAAACTACAAACAAGTTTCAAAACTTGTAATTAATTAGATACATTTTTTTAATCGCTTGACAGCCCTATTTACTATATGTCTATTATTATTATTAACAAGGTCAAACTTCAATTAAAATCTGACATATGCTTGTAAGTGCATAAATTAAAAATAAATGACATGTGCATTAACAAACGCTGCTGGCACACTTGGATGTCTTCATCTTTGTATATTGGTACTCATCACAGAAAAGGTTGCTGACCCCTGCTCTAGATGATCCACACACTATGAGACGCCACCTCCTCGAGTTCCTCCTCTAGAAAGTTTTGATGTGTGGTTCTGCTAGCACTGGATTTCAATAGTCTTCACTAACAGTCTCCATCAGCACACGCAGAGGAGAAAACACGAGCAAACTAGGCTGACCAATCACACTTCTTGCGGTCTTAATGTGGTAGCTTCAACGTCACTGTAGCCTCAGCATAAAACATAAAAAGTATTGTTCCTCGCATACCACAGCTCTGCAAGTCTATCGTAAAACTGGAAAGCTCATAGAGAAAAACCATCATTGTAGATATAGTTCATGTGTTAAACATAAGGTGGACATAGGAGAGTATGCTTCTGTAGGTGCACAGCAGTAAAATAAAAAGACTAATATAAGTGGCTGCAAATTAGTGTACCTGACGAAACCTGAGGAGTGATGTACATCACACACACTTCAAAAAACACTGGTGGAATGGATTGCCCAGAAGCAAATGCTTTCAACCACTGATCTTTTGAGCTTTTCAAAAAAGTTCTCCTGAGTAAATACAAAGGTTCCAGTGTTAAGTGTGGAAAGGGAAAACGTTTACAGATAGGCTGATATATGCTTGTAAATCCTCATGTAGTTTGCAACCAGCAAAGCTAAGATTTTCTCTCTTTGCATTCTGTCCAGGGCCCTGCGATGGACTGGCGACCTGTCCAGGGTGTACCACACCTTTCGCCCACTGTCAGCTGGGATTGGCTCCAGCCCCCCCGCGACCCTGTACGCAGGATAAGCTGTTGACAATGGATGGATGGATGGATGCATTCTGTCCAGTTATCAAACAAAAGATACAAAGAAATGGCAAAGGCAGGACCTGTATTTGGGGAAAAAATGTATTTGCAATTTTTTGGACAGATATTGAGATTACGATTCGATTTGAAATTTTTTTTACTGAAGTTTTGCTAAAGTTTAATATACACTGCCAGTCTATTTTTGATGGAAGCAGCACAGAGCAGATGAACCAGGCAGGAAGTCAGACACAGAACAGCATAGAGGATCCAGTTGATTTTCAAAATAAAACACCCTTTGGAGACACCCGATCGTACATCAACAATAATCACAGTTAAACAGACAAAAGAAAGAAAAAATTTAACTAGTAGCACAAAAATCAAGGACAACATAACAAATAAACAAAATCTGAACAAGTCAGCAAAATCAGACGCTGCCGCCATTATCCCACGTTTTCCAGTTTCGATTGTTGTAACAGAAGGCGCATGGCGCTTGTGATTGGAAAGCAAATCTGTCACCTAAAGATGACAACAGCATGAATCTGTGACTGAATGACTGTTTAAAACAGATCTGATTCGCTGTTTAATTAACCTACATTTTAATCGCTGTCTTCATAATTAGCTAATCACATTTCGATTATCGCAATTTTGATTTGAAAACGATTAATCGTTAAGCCCTAAAACACATTACCGTTTCAACACTACTGTGTCTTCATCAGAGTCTAAATGGACACAAATCTGTCTTGACCTTTTAACTATAAGTGAGGTCTGTGCTCTTTTGTTGGTTTGTTCCTGACATGTGGTTAGGGGTCCAGCACCTTGACATGGACAAATAAAGTTATTACTACGGCTACTCACACCTTATGATTCATTTTCCAGATTTAAAACCCTTGTTCAACCAATTATCCGGTGACAAAGTTTCTTTGCCTCATGTCCATAATTCTGACTCTGATAAGACACAGTAGTGTCGAAACGTCTTATTGCACTATTGAAAGCTGCCAATTAATTGCAAGCCCCAGTCCCTTTTGTCCTCTAGAAATTTTCTGTCCTCAAAATGAGAAGCACCTGATTCAGCTGCATTTTGTTTGAAGATGTGTGGAGAACCCTGTTTCTACTATAGGAATTTCCATGTGGATGGAAGTCAAGGTCATGCCTGGGTGAGATCAGGTATCCTGTCGAACAACTAAGGTAGGCAGGCACAGAGCGTGAATGTTGTTCCCCAGTTTAACCACATTCTTCTACAGGCAGCGTGTGATGGACAGAGTGGATCAGCAGGGTCCCTAGTTCACCTCATTAAGTCCTCCCTTCAATATGTTCCTCCCTCCGAGATGGAAATTAAGCATCATTCTCCAGCTGACACGGTGGATTCTACATAACCCACAGCTAATTATTACAGTTTTTTTGTGCGGGGGCTGTGCCATCGGTGTGTGAATGTGATGTAGTGTCAAGCCCTTTGAGTGGTCAGAAGACAAGAAAGGGACTATACAAGTACAGTCCATTTACGATTAGAGTTTAGTTCCTTATCGTCTTTTGTTTGTACAAGAATCATACCTGTCAACATTAGTATTTGAAAATAAGGGAAATAATAAGGGAAGTTTTCAGGCAACCTTGTCCTTATATATATTGTTTTTTTATATAATATTCTACTAAACAATAGTATAATGTTAATTTCATAGTATAGGCTATATAGTACAATGTTAATATATTATCTATAGTATACATATATTAAGTACAATATACTATATACATTATAATTTCAGATGTAGTTCACCACTAGGCCTAATATTATTACAGTTTCAACAGTTTCATTTTTGTGAGTTGTTTATATTCACTAAATCCTTGTGCAGGAAGCACAGTCTACATTGGTCGCTAATTTATTAATGCTAAGTAGGCCTACTAACTCAATAATCATAACCGTTCATGCAAATGAATTATTGTAGGTTGCAGTCTTTACTTGCACTCGCATTTTTCAGGTTCTATTTTTTGGGCAATATACCAGTTAAATACTGTGTAGAGCAATGCATAATCCATCATGAACCCCTCGCGCTGCTGTTCTTCTTGTTTTATTGGTGGGTGCCATTGACTTCCCGTCACAGCTAATGTTCTACATACTGCTCGCAGTATTTTTTTCACTTAGGGTTAAAAATACGGGATAGAACGGTAAAATACGTGAGAATCCTGGGAAAAGGGGGAGGGTTGACAGGTATGACAAGAAATGACTGAGGGCTTGCCTTGACTGGATCATCACCTTCACAATGAGCAGAACCTTAAAAAAAAATCAACTTTAACAACAGTTCTTACATACAGAAATACTGTAAGTTTCAAATCTCAAACACTTTGAGTATCAACAAAATTCTGTCAGTCACATTGAGTATTAAAATGTTGTACTAAAAGCTGGCATCAGTTGCTTCTTGCTTGGTTAGATTTTCAGGGTTGTTAACTTAGATCAGAAATCTTTTTTTTTCCCCAAATACACGTTCTAAACACGTGACCTGCTAGAGTCGACTATAGACTAGTTTACCACCACCCTTCATAACATCAGCACCAAATACACACCACAACCAGACACACAGAAGCAGTTGCACCTACGTTCTCACTGTTGTGGTCGGCCTCGCTGGGACACCCGAACAGCTCTCGCCGCAGCAGATTGCCATCGTACTCCAAAAAGGTTAGATAGAGATTCCGGAAAAACTCCACATGCTTGTTCTTCACTCGCAGCTTCTTGGGAGAATTCCAGTGGATCACCTGTGCAGAAGAAAAGAAGAGCAGGGAAAAAAGGTTATCAGGGTTTTGTTGTTATTTTCATGCTCAGATAATTCTATTGTAATGTACAGACCAGTCAACCAATCGCACTGCACCAAACTGCCTGATCCTGGGATTTGAGCCACTGTCATTCTAGTACCAAGTATTTTTCCCAGAGTTTTTACTGAGCCTTTGAAGAAAAAGCATTTCAGACATTCAAACACTGGCAATTATACCGGGCCAGAATCTGTATCAAGCATCTCCCAATTTATTTTAGTACTTACATTCTGAAGATTAACTCAGAAAATATCTACCTACATCAAAGAAGGACATGAACCTCTCATGTTATAAAGTTTCCTACAACCACATGCAGTAAGAATGAACTATGATTATTATTTTTCTGGACACTTTTTTTTATTTCAGGTACTTCCACATACTACAGAGAGAAAGTGTTTTTGCCTTTTAAAAACATTTATTTACTTTGTGATTAAAATTCTTGAATGAATTACATTAATTCGTGAATTACAGACGCACCTAGCTAAGCAAGCTAGCTAGGTCCACACACGGTTGTTAGCTCCACCATCTCATCCAAATGTGGTGGAGTATACTATTCTGTATCTGTCCTTCCTTATCCTTGCATCTGTCCTTCCCCCACCTACAGAGATCAGAGTGTCCATGTCCATATGTGTGGATATTTTATTGAGTATTGGTCAAAAAGCTGCATCTGTCTGTTAACATTACAGACAGAGAGGAGAGACAGTCTGACTTTGTTTTTGGAGAGTCACCTTTGGCTTACTTTAGCTCAGCAAATGATCCTAATGTGATCTGGGGAACCCTGTTTTATTACCTTTGAAGACGTAAATTCCTTCACATACGTCACATAGTCCTTTCAGTGCTAACATCACACCTGCTATATCAATGTCTTTCACTACTAACTCTGACAGTGCTTGCACCTCAACTGTCACTTCAAATACTTTCAGTACTTCAACTTCCGCCATTAACCCCATAAAATAAGATTTCAGGCTCCACAGACTGAAATTTGGAACATTCCAGTAAACGTTGCTGACATGTGATGAAGAAAATAGCATCCCATGTGGATGTCTGGCAGGCCTCTCAATAAAAGGCCTGCAAAGAGCTCCTCTGCTTCAGTTAATCTAATCTAATCAGTTTCCAGCAGCTGAGCTAAATCTAGTGCTGTCATCTTGGGTTTGTGGTCTCTAATTGTAATTCATTTTTTCTTTATAATGATGTTTTCTGCATCAAACGTGAATGCCTCAACACGAACAGTTTGTTACATGACTTGGCCGTTGGTCTGCTCTCACTGAGTCATGTCCGCTCAGGCAATTTAACGACAACATCAAGGATCATCCATCCATAACCACTTAAATGTTAATATTTTGATATCAACTCATTTGAAAGGCATCCTGATTTATTCTTAGAGAAATTATATTAAATGAGCTATGACACTGACAAAGCCTTTAAAAGAGGTGTTAAAAGGCTCCTAATCGCTGCTACTTTAGGTGCATTTCCTTGGTGGAAAAACAGCTGACAATGGACGAACGTATTATCTGATTAATCAGCATAAAGCCTTTGAACAATATCTTTGAAGTTTACAGTATGTTCTTTGTAGGCCTATACATTCTGGATAATTTTCCACCTACTGGGAACTCCTCCCAGGCTTGGATAGCTCTGCACATCTACTGAAATGAGGAAAGGACAGTGTATTTTCAAGGCTAACAAGATTCACAATGCTTTTATAATTACTCGGACTGCCGAGTAGAACCAACTGTGTGTCACTTTGAATGTGGGACTGGCTTGAGACTCTTGATGAATGCAGGTCAGGTCTTGTGTGTCTGAAGTGAGTGTGAGCACAGTGAGGGCAGCAGGGTTTCACCTTGAGGTCCGACACGTCTTTGTAGCACTTCTCAGAGCGGGTGTGGTCGGACAGCTGGACGTTCCAGAAGCACGGCAGCTGGTGAACCAGGAACGGGTTCTGTTTGATCACCGCGTTGAAGATGTCCTGCAGACACACACGTGCACACACACTGACTGAGCCTTATGTTTTGCCTTATGTTTCATCATTTGCAGACCTGCACCACAGAGTCTAAAGTGACCCTGCTGCTTGTTTATTCCATGACCACACAAAGTTGAATTTAATCTTCCCTGCTTGTTGCATGGATTTTAAACTCAAGACCAATTTAACAAGCACAGTGAAACAATGGATATCAAAAACATCTAAATTGTAACAGCTGCCTCAACCAAAAATGTATTAATCAGCCCCAGATTTTACAGAAGATGCCAGAGAGAACAAAGAGAACCAATTGAAGTGACCACACTACGCCTGTTTTACACCTCGATTTTACCAGGCACGAGTGTTTTTCTTCCCCAGTTTTTTGTTTTAGGCTGCATAGTTACAGGGTGTTTTATTTTGAAAATTGACTGGATACTCTATGCCAGTGGTCGGCTATAGGCGGACCAGATATTATTGCTGGCAGGCCAGCTTTGGCCCGTGGCCAGATTACTTTAATAGCAGCAAAAACATTCTAGCAGCTGGTGCTGAAAAAGCTCTCAGTCATTACTGCAAAAGTAACTCTCATAATCACTTCCTCTTAAGTGATTGTCCTACAAAATAAAAGTGCGACAAGAGATGACATGAAAAACGTTTGGCCCGATGCCAGACTTATTTGCAGACCCCTGCTCCATGCCGTTTCCTTGTCTGACTTCCTGACAGGTTTGATCTGCTCTTGTTGCTTCCATCAGAAATAGACTAGTCGTATATTCTCAGCAGAGCAGAGCTGAGAGCCGAATGAAAATTTTCATAAACAATTAAAATGTGTTTATTGCTGAAAAACAACAACACTCCTACTCTCCCTGACTATACATTAATAGTATCCATGATACAGATTAAAAGGGGAAATAACAGATCATGAAAACAATAACAATTACTGTGGTTAGTTTGTTAATAAAAGTACAACTGAAAAAAAATCCACTATTTTTAACTCAAAACAAATGAAATCTAAAATGTAGGAATATTGAATCAAATTATCTTATTTTCAATTTCCTCAGCACCACCAGCAGTGGAGGTGGGAAGAATTACTGTAACACATTCTCATCAGATGTTACTGGAGAGCAGTAGTGGTAGTATAGCAATCCTGACCCCTCTGTCTTGTTAGTGTTTAGTATGTCTACAGATACTCTTTAATTCCTTATGTATGTGTAATCACACTCATAAAGCTGAATACCTCAAATCGCTTTGAGGAAATGTACTTTGGTGACATCTGAGAGATTTTTTAACTTTGAAGTCTTTGTGGGTTGACAAGAGTCTCAGTGGCAGATTCCAGTTTCCTAATGGGAGACATAAAAACTGTAACAACTATAGCCACATAATGAAGGCTGCGATAAAGACGGCTGACAGTCCATTGGAGGAGTTCATACAGGATAAGGCAGATGGAATACTTTCCAAAGCCCCATTCATTTTCCAAACTGCATACCTTGCGGGACTTTACTTAATGAAGGTTTAATTAAAATCTCATAAACGCACCTCTCATCTAGATGAGCTCTGAATATCTCTGAGATAATGGAGAGAGCCTTCACCAAGGTCTCACTGTCTGTTATTACTATGTTAGATATAGAACACTGCACTACTTAAGATAACAGCTATTTATGACCTTCAGGAAATGTCTACACTCAGGTGTGATGAAGGTACCATAACTCAAATCAAGCCTTTGACATGTAACAGTGTGTTCTGTTGCACTTTGAGATGAAAATGGAGGCAAAAGATATATGTGGCTCAGGGATTTTGTGATGTTGTGGGTACCTTGCAAAAGATCGAAAGAACATAAATTTTCTTTGCACTACATTTCTCTGTGCTGCTGTGTCAATTTGAATCTCCACCACAGGGGATCAATTAAGGAACATCTATCTATGTATTTAACAGTGGCACAACCCAAAATACATCCACCAGCAGCAGATCTACTGTAGAGATTTTCAGTTCAACTGTATTATGATCAAGGATTTTAAGTAAATTCTCCGTATTTGTATAGCGCCTTTCTAGTCTTTGCGACCACTCAAAGCGCTTTTACACTACATCTGCATTCACCATTCATACACATTCATACACTGAGCCTAAGTGCTCAAACGGAAACTAACATTCACACACATTCATACACTGAGCCTAAGTGCTCAAACAGAAACTAACATTCACACACATTCATACACTGGTGGATGGTTCAGTATCTTGCCCAAGGACACTTCGACATGCAGCCTAGAGGAGCCGGGAACGGCTAATCTTTCGATTAACAGGCAACCCGCTCTACATCCTGAGCCATAGATCTCGGCTGTACTTGGGCTATGGTTAGAAGTCTATTAAACTTTTACTGACAGCCCAAATTTAGCTGTGTTTTAGCCTAGTATGAGAATGGATGGCAGTTAGCTGTATATTAGACAGTTTCCCCCATACCTCAGTTGGTAACTGCAGCATTTGTTATCAGACCCAGTTAAGACCTCAGTAAAAAGTGATTGCAATAGCCATTATTTTGGTGTCTATTAGATTTACCTAATGTATATGTCAGTAGCAATCTAATTGATGGCTAGGCTGTACTTATGGGCTATGGTTAGACATCTGCTAAACTTCAACAGACTGCTCATCTTTAGCCTGTTTTAGACTATTAGACGTCTTTTAAACACGAAATTACTTCCTGGGGTATGACACCCAATTTCTGTTGGTTCAGTTTCTACTGTTCCTGTATCAAAATGTTAAAATACAACTTCACATTCTTCCTATGTTGTTAATTAAAGGAGATTATTATTATTATTAAACTGCTTTTCCAGTCCTATATTGTAGTTCTGTGACTCCTTTAGCAGCTTAGCATGATTCAAAGTTCAGAAAAATAATTTTCTATCTTATGCTGGCTTCACCCTGAGCCATGGTTCTGCTCGAGGTTTCTGCCTCTTAAAAGGAAGTTTTTCCTTGCCTCTGTCGCCTAGTGCTGCTCTTGGTGGGAACTGTTGGGCTTCTGTAAATAGCATCATAGAGTATGGTCTAGACCTGCTCTTTTATGAAAAGCGCTGTGAGATAACTGTTGTTGTGATTTGGCGCTATATAATAAAATTGAATTGAATTGAAAATTGAATTCATGTAGGCCTTCATTTCAGCCTCAGTCTGAAACAAGCTGTAGATGTTCTTGTCTCTTTAAGTCCCCCCCACAAAAGCCCACTGTCTTCTGATTGGCCAAGACCTGAAGCATTATACCAGACTGTTGTTGTCGCTGAGCGGTACAGACAGAGTGACTATTACCATGCGGAGCAAATGAACATATATGGAACACCAGCTCCGTCTGGCTCTGTATGTTGTAGAATGGAGCAGTTGGTAGAAAAAGCTGATGAAAACAGAGCGTTCAGAACAGGAGGAAACCTGAGGGTTTTGCTCACAGGGATGTCTTTTCAAGTAATTTTACCTCATTATTTGAAGCTTTGGCCATGTTTAACATGAACATCCAACACTGTAACATTTTAGATAAGTCATAAAATGTGGAATAATAGGTCTCCTTTAAACCTCACATATGAAATAGTTTACATTAGATTTTGCAAAGTCATTTCCTTTGCTCTTTGTCTTGTGATTTCACAGTGCTAGGTACTGTAACTCCAGTCTCTTGGAATATGGGAGTACTAGGTCAGTTTGACGCTGTCACTTAACTCTTTTAGTGCCATCCTTGAATCCTGGCGGGGCCTACTGTGTGACCCAAAGGCCATGTGGACATCATTCTTTCAACAATAAAAGATAGAAAATGTTCATTAGCATCCATGTTGACTCACGCTACAGGAAGACTTGACATGTTTCCCAGTATTTCCCATGAGACGCAACAATTTAATACCGCAGGGAGAAATGCTCTGACATATGATATGACGTCATCATGCCTTGCTAAACTGCTGGACACATTTAATGACTATATTCCTGAGAACAATAAGGGGATACACAATCCCTTTGGAGTTGATGTGGAAGGCATGACGTTGCCAAGCAACAAGGAAGCTCAGCTGGTTGAGGTTTTATGTGACAGCATGCTGAAAAGGAAATTCCCTGAAGTGAGCTTCTCAGTTTTGGTGTATTGTGATGACTGAGTATCCATCAAAACAAACTAATTTAAAAGGTAGTCAGACCAACAAACTTTATTTGTACGTTGCCTTGATAAGTAAAGTTATTTAATGGCTAGTGGGTGTCGAAACTGCAAATTGGGCGGTGCTTCACTGGGGATTGTCCATTTTCAACATGGAGGCTGAGTCGGACACTTCCTCATATTAGAGCGAAACAGTACACTCAAATATGTTTCTGAAAACATCTGAAGAGAGAAATGGACAATCCAGTAACATATTTTTGATTAATATTTGATCAGCACTGTTTAGTTTTACCGTTTGTTGTGAGTTTTGTGAGCCTGAAGCATTGCTTTGGACAGGCTCACTTGCATAAAGTTGAGAGCGAGTCGTGTTGATGCAAATTCAGATAAGGAGAATGGTGAGTCAACTCGCCGCAGCGTAGAAAATGAATAGAATTCGTCTCCTTGACATCCGTCAACGGATCCGGTGTGTCTCCAGCTAAGTATGCAAGGTTTGAATTGGCCTCCTAAACTTTATTTTTTCGTTCTTCTTCTACTACCTCTGTCAGTTTTCATTTGTAAAAACGAGTGCAACACCATGAAAGCCTTTGACGAGAGAGTGTCTGAAAGTATGCGCTGTTATCCCGATTTGTATGATTCACGGGGCCGACACAACAGAGACAAAAGAACAGAGTTATTGAAGAGAGATCAGGGAGGCGGCGAGATGCAGCCTGGAGGAGGCTGTGATGGCAGGTTTTTCACCCAGCATTCCGATGTGGCCATTTAGAACAGGCAGAAACACTTAGACGTGGTCGGATGACACGTTGTACAAAGCAGCTTGTTTGAAGCAAACAGAACCCTTTCCTGTAGCTTAATTTAACAGCAAAAATTCAGGAAGCAATCACAGAACGGGTATGTTACTGTTTATATTATGTGATGTGAAATGGCAAATTTTGCCAAAGGGTGGCAAATTTGCATGTCTGAGGAATGAGGATGTGTGTGAGTGTGTTTTACCTGGTCTGCCAAGGAGGTGGACAGCATGCTCATTAGTTCCCTCTCCGCAGTCAACCTCCACATCTGCTCCCATCTCAGCTTCCGTAGACGATCCAGGAGAAGCAAAATCACCCCTGGAAAGCACACACACATACACACGTACAGACAGAGATATGGTAGCTTAAGAAAGAGAGAGATTGCTATCTAGCTCCCTGGAAAAGGTGATAAAGTCCCATCATGAGGCTCTGAATCACAGCCTTGTGTTTTCTGAGATAAAGCTGTAGACTTTAAGCTTAAAGACAGACCGAGGCTGGACGCAGAAAAAGTCCTCTTGGAAACAAACCATTCTTAGAAGCTCATGTGCTTCTTTTCTTTGCTAACTTTCTGCCCCAAAAAACAGGAAATCTAAAACAAAAACTTCTTCTCGGTTCCCTGGCTAATAAAAGAAATCTTCCTGGCTTTACAAACAAAATCAAGCAGCCAATTTTCAGAGGGAGAGAGATGGTGGATATGTTTTTGTTCCGGATGAGAACAAACAAACTTCTTTCACACCCTGCTGTGCTCTATCTGTTGCCACAGCCACAAAGCTTGGAGGCTTTCTGTCAAATTGCTGTTCTGTGTAAATGTGACACATGCCTTTCTATTTCTGAGACGTGCCGTTCAGTCACACTGACAGGAAGTTTAAGAGCAGAACACTGAATCCTTACAGCACAGACGTGTTCAGGTGAGTTTGACACGGCTCCCACTGAAATGCGCCTGCTATGAAATTCACTGCAGCGGGTGGTGCTGTTTGTTTTGGGTTGTAGTCAACAGAACGATTATCCCACAGCTCCAAACAGCACAGAGAGAGCTATAAGTCTCCCGAAGGGAAAGCCCTGCTGAATTTATAGGCAGAGGATAATAATAACAAGGTGTAATGGAATCCAATCAATTCCACTATCAGCTGCTCGGAGGCTCTGTGAAATTACATCCAACACCTTTTTTGAAAATGTTTTTCCCCTACAACGTTCAACAAGGCAGGTGGATGGCTTGTATATTTCATCAATGTCTGTGCAAACGCACTAATTTCTTCCAAGGAAAGGACACTGCCTCACTGCGGCACACTCTTAACTTTCACAGGACTCTGAAATGTGGAGAATGAAAATAATAATACTTGGAAGCAATCGAATGTTTTCCTATTACCGTAAATTAAAATAACCTCAGATGGCTGAAATAACAATGCCAAATTATATTCCCAGAGAGAGCTCAATCAAATTAAATCAATACTACATACCAATAATACAGGGCAGTGTGTACTATACAAATTGTCACAGTAGGAGAGGGCAATATGTATACAATGTTTGTATACGTGTGATCTTATAGCGAGATAGCAATATTGTAATTTAGTACATTTTCTAGCAAATCTATTGAGAAACCTGTTTACTGCTACAGTAACCCGACAGGCGTGTTTGTTTTAGTCATCTGAAATTCTACTGCCATAAAACAGTCCTGCTCATTGATTTGCAACATTGCCCACGACAGCCTGATACCTCAGCTCCTTCAGTACAAACAATCTGGTAAAATCTCTGACTTGACAAATAGATACTGTCTCATGGTGTTTATGTGTTCATGTTGGCAAACCTTCTATACTGTTTTTACATTTTTGTACACAAGGATAAAGTACTTTAAGATTTTGCGCTAGCAGGAAACGAAGCACAATTTAAGCAGACACAATCAAACTGGGATTTTTGGAATACCGCTGCTAAGTGGATGCTGTGTAGGGTTAATACATCGATTGTCCACTGACTGTGTCGGCGTCGTGTTTCAAAGGAAGTGTTTCAGAATCAGAATGCCTCTCAGCAATCTGTTGTTCAGCAGACACATTTCCAATGTGTTTTTGAGTTTGCTCGCATTTTTTGTATTTTACAAGGTTATTGAAAACATGTTTTCAAGCTTATTCATGCTTGATGTGGTAACACAGGCTGTACTGGTTTTAATGACACATACACAGCACGTTGTCTGATCTGTACTTTGTAACTGCATTTCCTGAATAGTGAATATTAGTAGAAGGAAAACAGCATTTCATCTCTAGCTTCACATGAGAAGTGACAGCAACAAACAAGAAAACTAGTTTTGCTGTATGCTGTATGCTGCATGCTTGTGACTTTCACAAGTGAATTTCACACTTTAAGGACACAAGTTGCTCTGGCAAAAATAGGTCTGGTGAGTAATATATAAAATTAAATTTAAAATCAGGGTTAAAAGACAATCAGGTGTGTGACCATAGTCTGTGAACTATTCAGAAACACCTGAAGAGTGCTTTGTTCCATGTTTCATGTTTTTTAAATTGTTGTCCTTGTGAAAGATATCTTGTTATATGTGTGAGTACTGTTGTTCCTGTTGTTCTAAACTGCCACATTTACAGAAATGTTTATCAATGTGCACTGTCTCTGTAAACTTAAACTCTATAAATAAATAAATAAATATGGTGGACATTGGCACAACAACATCAATGGCAGTAAAATGACTCCAGCAGCCACTACAGAGCCCAACGCAATGTCATTATTTTCACTATAAACACATACAAACTCAAGTCCTGCTTAAAATGAAAGTATGTAGTATGCACACAATTTTACACACAATACATATGTTTTAAGTGTATCCCATGCACCATGCTAACATAACATGCTGTACTCACCAGTGTTGAAGCCTCTTCCCAGAGCTGGCCAGGGTCTATGGTTCTTCCACAGGTTCCCCAGGTACCAGTCACTCTGGTTCTCCACCAGACCCAGAACCTGCTGACCTGAGCACAGCAAACACGACACCGTTACTGCTTTTTCACCTTCTCTACGTCCATTCTTTTTCTCTGCAGCTTTAACTTATCCACTTCCTTGTATGTGTTATAGTCATATATTTAGTTCTGGGAGTTTGGCTGAAGTAATGTGGTGGTTTTCAGAAAACGTTTTAATTTTCTTTTAATGTTGCATATTTTTATAATGTGATGTTCAAGGCATCCCATGAGTTATTTTATGATGAAACATTTTAATTTACTTCTTTTGGTGTGTACACTACGACAACCTGGCCGTTCTGCTCCAACATCAGACAGTGATTTAATTTTTTCTTAATACTTTCACATATTTTCAAACACATTCAACACCCAGAAAAAGGCTGTATACTTTTGTTTAAATAAGAAAACTGGTATGATCAATCCAAGTTAGTTTAAGAGTTATGTCAGCCTCGAGAGAAAGGGCTGTATAGAATAGAACAAAAATGTGACCAGATAAAGTAGGCCTAACAAACCACACAATGTTACTGTAAGACAAAAACAACTTATATACAACACATTCCTAAATAAAAGTCAATATTAATATTAATTCATAAATAAGTCCTGAAGTCTCAAATAACTGGGGTAATGGGCAGCACATGGTCATTTTTTCATTTATTGTCAGCTGCATGGTTAAAAAAAGTTTCCCCGTACAATAAAATTCCACTTTTGCCTTCCACTGTGAATGACATTTAAAGGAAACACAAGGTATAAGAAAGTAGTGATAAAAGAAAATATATATATAAAAGATACTTTAAAGGAATAAAGGCCGGTCCAAAAACACCGAAAAGTGTTGAGTTTGCAGTAACATCAAATTAAAACATGAGTAGACCATAAAACAGGGAGGCTTTATTAATAAAATATGACTAAACCAAAACTTAATCATTGGTTTTATCTCAGGATAAAGAGATAAGTGAGTCATGATCTCTAGCTAACTGCCTGTTCTTGACTTGCGCATGGTTTGGATTGTGTGCAGACAGAAATAGAGGTTGAAGGGGATCAGAGGCAGACACTACAGGGTCAACTGGCTCAACACAGAGCCAGCAGAAACATAATCCCTTCATAAAGTGGGCTTTTATGTCTGAGTCAACTACAAACCAGGAGAGGGCTTCAACTGCAATGGCACACCATTTGTGAGAAGCTCCAAACTGAATTTGAAACTTAGCTCATAAGAATTTAAAGTGTTTGAGACACTAGACAAAAGGTATTTAGAGGACAAGAAAGGAGGTGGAATGAAATAAAGAGGAGAGTTTCAGAAGACCAAGGGACGAGGGAGGGGGGGGGGGATGTACATGGGCATTAGGGAGGAGATATTATGGAAGACAAGCTAGGTAGAGATCAGGGTTGGATGGGCATTAAGGAGGAGATAGGATACTGGAGAGCGGGCATGGGTTTAGCACTGGTAGCTTTAATGAAGGCTGTAAGGAAGATTAATGAGAGTTTATTGGAGCAGGCAGCAGAGAGCGGGCAGCCTCTTTAGAAAGGCTGCAAAACAAAGACCACAGATTTGGCATCAAGGTGATGACTGTGCGGAACAATTAAAGCTAAAAAAAAAAACACTGCTCCTTTTGGAGAGACTACACAGTGATTCTACTTTGGTCTGGGTTAATCAAAAATGTGCCTGTTTAATCTCATTGTCAGCAGTGGTGGGAAGAAAATTCTACTGCAGATCCCTTCTGTTTATATTCTACTCCATACTTTTACTGTAGTTAAACATTTTTATTGCAATTAAGCAATACACCTGTGTGATTAATTACAATTAATGACATTTTAATCATTTTGGATGAACACTATTTGTGGACACCAAGACTGTATTTAAACCAGCAAAGTGTACTCAGAATTTTTAATTCCTCAAATCCAGGTAGAATAATAAAAGACAGTTAACTTCAATGTGGGTTGTATTTTTTTAAATTTTGGCTTTTGTCACAAACAGTTGTGATAACACAGAATTCACCATGTTCACTGCAGAGATCTTGGAAAACAGCGACATTGCAACATCAGATGAGTCAACAAACAGTCAGACAATCAGACAAACCAATAGTTCATCCAGATTATGTAACCACTTCATGTGGAAAATGAAAAGAAGAGCACCTGAAACATTCATAATAATAGTGTTCAACTACGGCAAGTACAGTAGGTCAAAGTTTAAAGAGGAAGCTGGATTGGAAACTGATGGATGTTTGCAATGGACACTTCTGATCATA